GAACAGGGAAACGCAGTTGTTCGCCGGCATTGCTTGAATGTCACACACTGTGTCCACAAAGGGGTAAGCTTTGTGTACTTCCCCAAAATCGAGAAATCCCTGAGCCAAAAGGGCTATATAAAAAGGAAAGTGGACTCCTGTATACAAGAGATTGCAGGACTGAGCAATGGGTATGTGCAATATTTAAATACCTGCTGGACCGAAGCAACTATTGCAACGCATAAACTTAAGGGACTTGTGTCGGCACAGGAGAAACTGAACTTTCAGTTTTCACTGTTTCACAGTAACAGAGTAACACAGTAAGCACTAAGAAATGTTACAAGACATTTTCTCCATAACAGCACAGACTCCAAAATGCACTTGGAACCATAGTTTTCAGCGTCACTTGCCCACACTTTCTCCCTTTGGTATCCTCGCACAAAATATCAGAGCTATTCAGCTGTCACAACCAGCCCAACGCAGAAACTGCCAGCGAGGGCAGAACTATCATATGTAGCAGATGTTATCAAGAGAGGGAGGGCTGTCAAGGAAGTAGGTATGGCCTCTGTTTGAAAAAAAAAAAAACCACCAAAACCCACAAAACCAACAAAATCCAGTGTTTACACACCACTGAAGTGTCTCGAGAAGCAAAACAGGATAGGTATTGCAGGGTGATTAGATCAGTCAAGATAAGTCCTTGTCAAAATGCAGAGAAAACATGTTTGAAGTGACACAAGTCCATCACATAGCTTGCACTTAGTTCTGGACTAGCATGTGCCATCCCAAGAGTTTGTCTTTCTCTGTCACCAGAGTTTTCCAGCTATGTCACCTATACCGATTCCAAAATGCAACACCTATTCACTGAACTGACAACATCGGTAGGTCCCAATGCTAAAACTGTCAGTGCATCTTGTTGGTACCAAGACCTTTTAATTCCATGTCTCGGTGAGGATTTCCCTGCTGTTTCCTGGTTTCCATGAGCTCACCACCCAAAGCAGCGAAGTGGCAAACCGCTATTAGAAGCGAGAGGTCTGTGTTCAGAAACGCAGACCCAGAGCCTTGTGCGTGAGGATGTGTGTTGTTCCGCAGCCATGACATCCACAGCAGAACCTCTGACTCCAGGTGAGAACAGGACTGCATTTGGCACCTTACACCCTCAGTGCATCTTCAGTACGCTCATGTCACATCCCAGCACATAACACAACAACAAGCATGATCTGATGCCTAGGGTGCACGTAAGTACCTCGGACTACAACAAATATGTGCGTGCTGAATACAAGTCCCACCCAGGAAGTTACATCACAACCCTCCTCACACAGTCCTTCTTGCTTATGAAGCAGCTGTCAGTCACACTAGAAGAAGCCAACTTACTGACTCACCCAGCAGTGATGTTTCAAAGACCATAAACAGGAATGCTTGGGTGTGAAGTCACAAAATAGTGTTAAGGACATATTCAGGTAAAAATGACCTTAAAGGTAAGTCTGGAAATCTTTTTATAAAATAAACTGTCAGAAACTGAGCTGAAACATTAATACTGAGCCTACAGTGACAAGACAGGCATGACTTCAGCTTGTTTTGATTTCTTGAAAAAATCTTTTTCATTCTGAAATGCCCACTTCTTGCACTTAAGTACATGAAAAGTTCTTGGCAAAGTCTGAAGTTCATTTACAATCCCATTTTGAGAGATCATAATCGGAGAAAAGACATTCCTTTCTTACTTTGAAAATGATCCTCTCAGCACTCTCCACCACAATATTCTAACACCAAAATTCTCAACTCAAATTTGAAAGTGTAATAAAGTTGTGACCAAATAAATCTATTGAAATAACTTATTTCAGCAGTTGACAGCTTGCTTTTTTGGTTCCTTTGGGTAAAGCTAATGTTCTACCTACAGGACGAAGAGTTTGTACATTACATATTAGCATTCTACCATAAATACATCTTTACCTGAGTGAATAATTAAACTCGCTACTTTCTCTAATCTCTACTTCTCAGTAATTTTAGGTAACAGTCAACAGTTAGCACAAGCACAGGAATTTATACATCCCAAAAGCTGTCCTCCTCAGTTCTTACATCGCTGTTTGAGATCAAAGTGTCTATACCCATAGAAAATCATTTTTTTCCCCCAGTAGGGATGGACCAGTATTTGAACATTTAGTCCCTGTGTTTCTTCCTCTGTATTCTGACACAGCTGACTAATGTCCTTCCCATTTCCATTCTTCTTTTATCATTTTCTCTTTTTTCTAGCCCTCTGCTTACTATAATTTTTAATCTTTTAATACCCGCTTTGATGTTTCCTTTCTCCCTTTTGCTGTCTGTTAGCTCTCACCCCATTACAAAAGACCAGCAGCTTACAGTCTATAAGCAGTGGAGAAAGGCTCCCATGCTGTTATCCAAAACTCATTGTAGCGCCTCAGGTACAATAGAAAGCTTAGTAAGGTAAGACACACAGGCAGGGTCTTTCTCTGCTTTCCTACCCCTGCTGTCCTGCTGGGTGCTCTCAGTTTTCTGCTATATTCATGAACTACAAGATAAAGTATCAATCAGTATCAGTATCAGTATCAGAATGAGTTTTATTTTGATCAACCTGCGGAAAACACAAGTTGTCTCTTGGTACTTCACCCACCCGGCTTGCCAACAGCTTTTCTGTCTCTGCTGGCTTCTATGTTAGCTTTATAGTTTGGAAACCATTCTAAATATGTTTCAACTTGTGTTCCTATTTTGTTACAGCTTTACAAGATCTTGTCTCTGTGGCAGCCAAGAACCTGAAAACTGTACTTTAGGAGAAATTCCGTTACTGGTGAAACTATACAAATGTCAGACCAGAACCTTTAGGTGCGTAAAGATCACCAAAGACTGCCACTTCTGTGCAGAGTCACCACTCTATGATCATTCAAATAGCCCCTAAAATATTTTAGAAACGTCTGTCCCACCAGTATGCTCCTTAATTTTTGCAAACAAGAAAGTGCTGGAACTATCCAGAGATATGGCTAAGCGTTTTGTAACTATTTTACCTGTGCAAATTATTTGTAAAATGAATTTAAATACTCTTGCAGTTTAAGCAACATACTTGAGTCAATTTACAGGGATCAGTAAATCCAGTTTCAATACTTCTGTAAAACAGGTAAAGATTAGTATCACATCTGAGGGCAAGATGAACTTATTTGCAGTATCTGTGGCAAAGTCACAGAAGATCCTATTCTTCTGACTCAAACAGATTTGGTTCAGTGCAGCTAGTCTAGACATGGGTTTCAGATGCGTAAGCAAAGAGAAGATCTAACAACAACACGCTTAAAGGTGACAGCATTTGACCTAGAGCATCACAAGGGAGTATTTAGAACAAAAATCTGTCTTAAGAGTTTTCAAGTTTCTTGGGCCTTATCCACACTCCTGTCGAGCTTAGAAACAGTCACAAGACCAGTCACAATCCAGGAGTCCAAGGAGGTGTTGTCCATTCAGACCAAGTAAGGCCTTGGAAATGACAGCCAGCACCTCGCATAAACAACATTTTTGGATTCCCTGACTCTTTAAAAGGCTGCTGCTGAATTGAGGCACATGAATTCTGCCCACGCTAGTGGCCATTTTGAAAACAACTTTTCTTTCAGCTGATCAAGACCTGGTACCTTGGAAAAACAGATGTCTGAGGACAGACTGTCATTGTAAGACTAGATCTTTCTCTGACAAAATTCGATGCTTTGCTTTTAATTCCTCCCCTCCCCCCAGCCCCCAAAATGCCTTTGCTTTTTTCCACGTCTCTCCACAGTTCTTTATTCCCCTCCACTCCGCTCTGGTGAGACCCCACCTGGAGTTCTGCATCCAGCTCTGGAGCCCTCAGCACAGAAAACACAGGGAGCTGTTGCAGCAGGTCCAGAGGAGGCCACAGAAATGATCACAGGCCTGGAACACCTCTCCTGTGAGGAAAGGCTGAGAGAGTTGGGGCTGTTCAGCCTGGAGAAGAGAAGGCTCCGGGGAGACCTTTTTGCGGCCTTTGAGTACCTGAAGGGGCCCTACAAGAAATCTGGGGAGGGGTGTTTTACAAGGACACGTAGTGATAGGACAAGGGGGAATGGCTTTAACATGAAAAAGGGTAAATTTAGATCAGATATAATGAAGAAAGTTTTTTACAATGAGGGTAGTGAGGCACTGGCACAGGTTGCCCAGAGAAGCTGTGGATGCACCCTTTCTGCAAGTGTTCAACTAGTGGAGTTTGCCCCTGCCTATGGCCGGGGTGGTGGAACCAGATGATCTCCAAGGTCCCTTCCAACCCAAACCGTTCTACGATTCTGTGATTTGCTTCATGTGATATAGATTCTAATTCTTTCTTCCTCCTGTGAATGCTAGAGTCCAAGGTCTCTGCCTTTACAAATCAATCAGTAAGGAGTGATCTAACAATCAGCCATACCATACCAGTCAGATACCTGAAGTTCAGGTGTCCATCCCCTGACACAGGCCAGCAGAGATTTTGGCTAATTGCTTTGTGATCCTCTGTGTCCACGCCTGTTCTGATTTTGCAAGTACTTTTTCCTGAAGAATTAATTTATCAAGTGATCCTAAATTAAGCATGCTGCATTTTTTGCATTGGTAGTCACAACCCTTTGAAAAAACCTGAAGGTTATTTATAACATCTTATACAATAAATAAATAATTTCAGTTTGGAAGCCATCTAATGGACTATAATGACCAGACACTTCACAGCACAGCTATAACAGCACCAGAAGGACTTAAGAGTACCTTCTGATAGTCCCTTAGCCCACAGTTCTTTCCTTCACAGTTCAGACATGACTCATCATGGACTATCTGTAGGTTCAGTTCATCATTTGCCTGTAACTAGAATTTGTATAGCAAAACTATACTTTCACAATTCACTACTCTATTCTGTTCCTTCTAGTTAAAATGATACATTTGAGAAACTAACATTTCTTCCTCCACACAATAAATAGTATTCCTCAGAATATCATTCTTTCTTTTCGTCCTCCAGTGAGGTTGGCAAAAGCAACGTCATGAAGCAGAAAAAAAGATTAGGTATCTAGAAATACTCTTTTTTGAAAGGATTTTATAACACTGGCCTTTCTTGTTACACTCTGTATCTGCATGGAAAAGTGACTTGCAGGCATGATTAAAGGTCAAGAAATCATGCCTTTTACTCTAAAGCATCAGTTTCAAGGTTTCTGCTGAAATCTCTTTAATTATTTTATGTTTCGTGTAGCAGAAAGTATTGTTCCCATAACGCAGACCTGAAGATGTTATACTTTTTCAAGAGGTAGTTAATAGTAAAGCTTTCTGTTTCTAAATGTCAGAAAAATGTACAATATTATTAACACTTTATCACTTTCTTGCAAGCATTGCCTATATAAGTGATAGAAATACAACATATTATTCTCCAATAAAACTTTTGCCTACATCATAATCCTACACAGCAACTGTTTTTTTCTCTCCTCCTAGACACATTTGGTATATACCTATTAACGAGTAACAAATACTTTACAAGATATGACACATTCTGAGTCATTACTACTCAGGGTCCTTGGACTGGTGTATTAAGATACTGTTTTTTATTTAGCAATGTGGGGAACTCCACACCTCCAATCTATTACAGAAATCCATCAATGTTACAATAACCTATCAGAGAAACAAGAGAACAATTTAAATCTCAGTGGCTCCTACCTTTTTCAGTACAGCTGTAACATGATTTTTTCCTCAAAAGGTGAGAGAGGTACGACTGACATACAGGCAAATACCCATCAAGAAACATATACTGCCTCCCATAAAAGAATCTATATTCAAGACTGAATTTTTAAAGAAACAAAATACAATAAAATATGTACTTTTAAAAGAAAACATAATGGCTGATTCCGTTTTTCTCACAAAAATATTTTTAAACATCTGGCCTTTCAGTTTCTGGATTAAATCAAACACTATTTAAAATGTAAAATTACTGAGGTCAAGTTCAACAACAAATGCATACACCAGTATCCTTTATTAAAAGGCACTAAACGATTCATAGGAGACTATTTCTTGGTACGACTAGCAGGGTGCAGGTTCCCACCATACGTTTCCTTCTTTTTAAACTTATTGAGTTCTTATTGTGTACTTGATTATATAATGATTCACTTGTATAGTCATTTGTAAGGAAAATATATGGTTCTCTAAAATTACTTCTAACCATTTTAGAGAACCTGAATTTACTGGGTAAGAAGCAGTTCCAGGGCCAACCTTGGGTAATTGAAAACACAACACTTTAAAATTCTTGCCGTTTATAGCACACTGAGATGCAGATTGGAAGAAACAGAAGACAAAGTATAAATCAAGTTTCAGCTCAGGTCAGCACAGCTCTTTGATAGAAAAAAACACAATAGCTCATGTTTTTCATGCACTGGCAAAATCTACAGGAGCTGTGACTCATTCGGTGGGTTTTACATACAACCTCAGAACAACTTCTAGAGCCTTCTCATCAGCTATTATCACGTGGTGATTTAAAGACTGTATTGTTTTGTTTAGAAACTTTGTCTTAACTTTGCTAAAAAGTCACTCCTGAAAAAAAAGCAGCACGATACAGTCTGAATGCTCACCAAGGTAAGATCACCAGGTAGTCTCCTAAAGGGTTACATCTGACATTACCAGAGTATGGTGTCAAAAGAGTCTGTCTCCTACGTTTCAAGCAATGCAATATCTGAAGCCACTGTCTCTTGAAGTTCGCTGTTTATCATATTGCCTTTCATTTATTACTCTCATAAGTAAGATATGAAAACATAGATGCGTTCTAGGACAATTATTTACAACAGCTCTGTTTGTCTTCTTCTTCTCTTAGTCTCCAGGGGACCACCAAAAGCAGACAAAAATTATATAGTGCAGCTGATTAATTAAGAAGACAGGTCAGTTATCACAGGATTTCTTTTCCACTTGCTTCACAAGGCAAAATGGTGAGAAAGCCAGTGTTTAAAGCTCTTGATTAGGAGTCAGCTTACTTACTTTTAGCCAGGCTTCTTAAGCAAACAAGGTTTCTGCATGCAACAAAAAGAGGCAATGGTCACATATTTTAACAAGCAAGATTCTAACTAGATACATGGGGAAAAAAATTAACCATGATTCTGGTTAAGCACATGAGTATGTTGTACAGAGATGCTGGGGAATGTCCATCCTTGAAGATATTCAGAATTTGACTCGACAAGGCACTGAGCGACCATATCTAACTTGGAAGTTAGTCTTAGTTCAAACAGGAGGTTGAACTAGAGACCTCCAGAGGCCCCACCTAACTTACATTATTCTATGGTTCTGTGCAATCACACACTGTCACCTAGTTACTTTTGAAGTGATTTGCCATTTTCAGGAAAACCTGACTTGACAGATAAGAAACACACACGCTAAATTCCAGAATTGGCTCCATGGCACGTAGTCCTTGAGAGCTGCTTGTTTTTTTTGGTTTTACTTTTTGGCCTCCTAAAAAATGAGTTTTGTTTGGCCACATAACTCAACTTTGTGTCAGTCATGTAACATTCTACCTTCTTCCTTGCTGACAGTCAAACAAGAGCAGGCAGAGGATTCTGGAAAGGAAGGGTGTGCAGACGAAGGAAACCTATACTTCGGTCACAGTATGCAAAGTTTCTAGAAAATCTAGCTTTGTAAACTGCCGACAGAACTATGTGTTTCTTTGTAAAGTATGTAACTACCTGAAGCAAATGCCTGGAACTTTAAAGTACTGGAAAATAGTTTCAAATATTTTGTCTGTAAGCCATAAAGAAAACAGTATAACAGGTGCACCCCTGAGATGGAAAAAGATTATGGATAGAAGTACTTGACTACAATCTCACTTTGCTTCCAAAGTACAAAATGCGAAGAATATATAGTTTCTCTGCCTGTTTTTTACAGTCATAGAAGTGGGGACGTTGTGTAGCTGATGAATATTCTGTTACAGGCCATGAGGAAAACACATATATTAGATGCTAGGGTTTTGGTTTTGTTGAGTTTTTGTGTTTTTTGCTTTGGGGTTTTTTTGTGGTTTGTTGGGGGGGGGGTTAACACTTCCAAGTACTTCTCCTGTTCCATATTATTAATGCCATTATTGATGGTGATGATGAGCCACTACTTTAGCTGCACAGCCTATTCATAGACTTGCAGAAGCATAAGGAATTGCTTTACAGTGTGGATACACTTCCAGTTTACAATGGCCGACACTGACTAGGCACTCACCTCTGATTTTCTTCTTGTCCCCCAGAGCAGACCTGACTCACCACTGTTACCCACTTCAGTGCAAAGTGTTACCTGACTTTGGGCACAGTCGAGTTCTGAGCTGACCACTCTGACTTTGCAATGTGGTCAGTGAGCGTCATCCCTCTGCGGTGTGATCAAAGGTGGTAGAGGCAAAAATACTAGGTCAAAGTGCAGTAAGCGCTGTTCAAATTGCATGAATATTATGCATTGGGTTTAATGTGTAAGCAGCGTAAAAATGGAATATTGAAAACACAAAGTTACAAGCTCAGTCAACTCCACAAAGGTCAGAGTATCTTCAGGAACATTTCCATGATTATTCAGCAATGCTTTTGTATCATATTTCTCCATCTCAATCCAGAAGACATTTGTCTATCATATTATTTTGTGGAGACTTTTAACTGAGTACTTAAAATGATACAGAGTTATTTTGTTAGCTACTTTAAAATAACAAAATGGTTCTAACTTGGATACAGGAGAGTTGAGTATACTGAGCTCTGAAAAACTTCATTATTGGGTCATTTAGATTAATCCAATCCACCAGCAGTCATCATTTTTCTCCAGCAGTCTTTCTCACCCACACACAAATCAATTCCATGCCAGCTACTTTCTTCTTCTTTTTCTACCTGTTGTATAGCCCTTGCATCCACCATTAGGTTTTTTAAACAGTTAAAAAAGTATCTTACTCTCAGATCCTCTGGTAACAGCTGCTTCTCTTTCAGGGCATAGCAATGTTTTCACAACTTCTGTCTGTGGCAAGGATTGGGTATCTGGCTGCATATTGCTCTGGTCAAAGCTCCCAAGAGGCTGAGAAATGGAGACAGTACCAGGACTCTGCTGGCACTGGCTGTGGTTGCTGGGGCCCCTCCTTACATTCCTTCCTGAGAACATAAAAAGATTGACAGTTTTTTTCTAAGAACAAACAGTATCATTTAACACTGGTGGTTTAATGGTTAAATGGACAGACCACTTATGCTTTTTATATTTCTTTCTGTGCTAGTTTTGGCTGGGGTACAGTTAATTTTCTTCATAGTAGCAGGTATGGGCCTGTGTTTTGGATTTGTGCTGAAAACAGTGTTGGTAACACAGGGACGTTTTAGTTACTGCTGAGCAGTGCTTACACAGAGTCCAGACCACTTCTGCTCCTCAGACCACCCCACCAGCGAGCAGGCTGGGGGTGCACAAGAAGCTGGGAGGGGACACAGCCGGGCCAGCTGGCCCCCCCCCGCCCCCAGCGATAGCCTGCCATATGACATCACGCTCAGCACATTAAGCAGGGGGGGGAAGGAAGGGGAGGACATTCAGAGTGATGGCGTTTGTCTTCCCAAGTCACCGTCACACGTGACGCAGCCCTGCTGTCCTGGGGATGGCTGAGCACCTGTCTGCTGATGGGAAGGACTGAATGAATTCCTTGTTTTGCTCTGCTTGTGCACGTGGTTTTTGCTTTACTTCTTACACTGGGTTTATGTCAACCCATCTGTTTTGTCACTTCCACTCTCCAACCCCACTACGGGTACTGAGCAAGTGGCTGTGTGGTGCTTAGTTGCTGGCTGGGGTTTAACCATGACATTCTTAAAGGTAATTGCTGAAATTTTCACTTAGCCCTACACCAACGACCACATGTAAGGGCAGACTTTCCTCTGTCCCTCTATCAGGCGAGCTGTAGCTGCTGTAAGGTGATTGCGGCATTCTCTTTCTTTGTCTTCCTTGGCAAAACTACCTTAGATGCCACGCAAATTTAACTTGAAAGGTAGCTCAATAAATATGTGTGTTTCACTGCTTGCCTCAAGAAAAACAGAAACATACAATGTCACGTATGATCACAGCAAAACTATTCTCATTTGCTTTCATGAAACCTTACTAATCTCTGCTGCTCATTTTATGCTAAATACCTGAAGTAACACTAACACAAACCTTCTGAAACAGCTCCCATGGTTCGGCCATTAAGAAACTGGATTCCCTTGAAAACATCTTTTATTCCACACAACTTTGGGGTCTCTCATGAACTAAAGGTGAGCAAGAATTTCCCTGATCTTTACAGATGGCTAACAGTTATTAAAGGCAGTAAGGGATTGCCAGAGCACAAGAATTGTACTAATCATGCCGTCTTCCAAAGACGATCTTCCTGAAATAGCAATCTGCAAAATGAATGTACATATCATGCTTACCATAACAACTAGATATGCTTTTATTTTAAGCCCCTTTACTGGAATTTCAATGTGAAATATCTAACACCAACATCTGCTCTGCAACTGACATCTGCTCTTCAGCTGACATCTGCTTCTGAATCCTTGTTATTCTTGGTCATTTTTAGCAAGCATTACATCATCATTGCATGTATCAGAAAGCACAGAGGAATAAATTCCAAGCCATGTAGTCACTGTTTCTTCTGTTTTCCTACATACAGATAGTCTAAAAGTGCTGTTGATTTTCTTAATGTTTAGTTCTCACTCAGATTTGAATACAGTAATTCCTGCTTTCTGCTAGCATGATCCTAGAAGAGACTAAAGCCTCAGACTCAAAGAAGGGACAGAGAGTGAAATTTAGTTAGGCTTTAGATGACTAATTCCAAAACTGCAGTCTTTAAAGTTTCTGTTAAATAGCTACTTTGGTGTGGGACTGCTTTACTTCACGGGCTCTTCAAGTTTTTTGCATTAACATTCCTCAGGTACCTAAAAGCCTGCTTCTATACAAACCTGGAAGCACCTTAATCTCAACCAAGCTGAAAAGCTGGGACATTTCTTACACTGGCAGCCACAGAACAGCAACTCCTTCCCCTGCCTTGCCTAGGGACATCGATGTGGTAGAGGTTCTTAGGACACGCTTCCTAAACCAGGCTCTGTACAAAGATCAGTGGTAGCCGTTTCTTTCTGTTAAAAGATGGCTAGATACAGCCACTGCCTGTATAATTTTCTTCCTACTTCCCCATCCTCTTAGTGGGAAGCTGGAAGAAGTGTAGGAGAGGGGTATTTAAAATAATAGCATCCTCTTCCAAAAATGCTTAAATTCTCAGGCCCCAGCCTTCTTTTTTAATGATGCTCTGGGATGCATAGAAAGAATTTAATTCATTAATACAGAAAGAAAAAAGCAGATTTATTCTTTACAAAAGCAGGATAAGCTTCTACTGTGAAATACACACAGGCCGTAAGTATATCGGAAAGATAGAGGAGTACCTGGGAATGTCCCCAGGCAACTGGCACAGCATAGCTCACATCCACACCAGCAAACTTTCCTGCGCTTTTGAGCAGGCTGGCTGCAGGCAAAGTGCCAGCTGGGAACAGCCCTTGGAACAAGCTAACTCCTGAACTGGACCTGGAAACCACTCGGGAGCTTCCTAGTGCCCACAACTGTTCTCACATTACAACAGTGGAGGTTAATCCTCTTCTGGAATGATTTAAGGCACTGTTTAACTTCCTGCTATATATCTGGCAATACAGTATCTGAAATGGAACTGAAACTGAGCACACTTTGTCTTTCCCTCCCTCCATTACTCACCTAGTCCTAATGGTCAGCCATTACAGTGATATTCAATTATACGTGACATAAAAACTTCTTTAAATAGTCTTTCCCAGATTAGCCTGGGCTATTTGTGAAAAACAGGGAAAAAAACACGTACTGATCTTCATGCTGACTTCTGTTTGTCACAAATATTTTTTTAACAGATTTCTCTGTTTTAGAAGTTACAATGTTTACGATAAATTTTCCACAAGAGGAATAATTTACAAGAACTAGTGAAATATTCAAAAGTCTATTAAAAAGTTAGGAGACTAAATCCATTTTAAAGTCACTTACACTGGGTATAAACTTAAGTTACTGGAGGAGAGCAATGTAGACTCATCATCTGGATGCACTTAGCCTGAAGCAAATATGAATAGGGGATGGTAGTGTGAATTTTGAATTAGTTATTTTAATTTATTATCTTTTAATTTACTTTTAGCATATAAACAACAGACCAAGTCTGGTATTGCAGTTCACATGAGGTGCAGTGTCTCACCAAATTAACAGAACCAATCACAAAATCTCAGAAGCTTTTCAGACTCCAAGTGCAACTGTCTGTCAAAGAGACTTGGGTTTCCCTGGGAACACATTACTTCTCAAAATTAGACTGTATTTCTTAAGTCTGCCGGGCAGTTCTGAAAATATTGTTCAATGTCATTTCATCATACCAATGCACTCTGTTTCTTATGACTGTCTCTTTTTAGAGAATAAAATATCCTCCTGGTTATTACTCTTACTTGGACATACTGGGATTTCCACCAACACAGATTATTAAATGTGATTTTAAGATGCAGATGCAGTTAAAACTTAGGCTAGTGTGCCTGAGTTTCCAACAGAATAAAAAAGTATTAAATTAGCTTATTAAAAAATTCACTTTATAGAGTAAATATTTTTACTGTAAAATGTTACATAAGTATTTTTTCTGTAGCAACTAAGTCATTAGTAATTACTCTCTTCACACAACCAATTTATGGAAGAAAAGAAGCATACTTCTTTAGAGATCATGTGTAAGTTCTGGCTCTATTTATTTTTCAAGCGCAAGATCTGTGACAAGCACGTAGCCCAGAAAAAAAATCAGAAAGCAGTACAGGAATTTTGGAATTTAAGCTCTTTAGGAATCATTTTCTGCTGCTTTCAGTTATGGTGAATATTAGATTTTACGTGGTACACACCCAAAAGCAATTGTGATGGCAATTCCAGGTCACTAGAAACTGACACGTCTTCAGCAAGAAATTCTGACAATGGTGTCCCAAGATATGTAACCTGTAAAAACAAATCTAAATGGATAACGGGCCATTTTAATTTTTCTGATACATGTAAAAATTTAACTTTTCTTATAAAACCGAGTTTATGTACTTAACAGTCTAATCTCTGTATGTCAAGATCAAGCAGAAATTTTGCTAACTGGAATTCTAAATGAAGAAAAGCCTAATACAACCCATCTGCAAAGCCATCTAAACTGTGCTGGTATTTTTGGAAAAAAAAAAAAATTTGTCCCTGACACCCCGACATTTCAGTAAGCTTGCTCCTTTTTATTCTAACAACTTTTCAGCTTTGTCTTTCAGTCTCTTAATCATCTTTAAAACTACTCTTTCAAAGCACAGAATGGACAGCTTACAGAGTGGGCATTCCACATTCTCTCAACACTTGTGACTAGTTCATCACTGTACAGCTACAGCTATGTGGCTCTTTCTTTGCTTCTTACAGCTGAAGAGGAAGAAGACTTTCTAAAATTTAGGATTGCACCCTCTCTTGGTTTAAGAACAGTAAGGAGATTCAGATTCGTAAAATTTGTTATTGACATTTATTATTGCTATTCTGGGGAGTAAAATCAGGCCTACCTTATTCCATGCATACTTCCATGTCACAGAAATATCACTTCCTAGTAGGTCCTCAACCCACTGAACTGGATTCTGCAGTATTTGTCTCTTACTGGTTCTGATCTTGCCATTGTTTAAGAGCGTAGCTTTATGACCAAATTCCTAAAAAACAAAAATCAAGAAATAATTTTCAACTAAGTTAACCAATGTGAATTAACACCTTTAAAATATTTAAAAAATGCTGAAGAACAATATAGCTAAAAAGTTGCAGCTAACTCTGTTTTTCTCTGACAAAAAGTTAAAGACTTTAATGCCACTATCATAAACCGTGATACATAATATAAGAGGATTTATTCCACCCGAATAAGATGTTTTGGCCACAAAGACACCACTGTCAGAGGACAAATCTCCCTGTGTGTTTATCAGAACTCTATTTGCATCTTAGTTCCTCTTAGACACGACAAGGCTGTGAATAAATTAATGTCCAACAGTGAACTCAGGAACTCACAAGAGGCAAAGTGCACCAAGAAACTGTTACTCAAACGCAATCTGCCTTATATGTGTGGGACAAATACATGTCACTGTGGAATACCAGTAGTGATTCAAAGATGAAACATATTTGCATAAAAACTTCACTGATGTCAAGTGACATCACTGACATGTTTTAGGAGGAACCTGAAAGCCTTGTCTTCTGCAAAATTAAGTATAGAATAATTTGTTGTTACTGCCTCTTCGATAATGTTAATACAGCCCAGTTCTGCAAACATATATTCACCTCCAGAAGTATAGCTTATAGTTGTTTATAGTTCAGTAAATTACGGTTTTGTTATACTGGTCTCAGGCTAACACAGATAAAAAATGCAAAAATTAGCTGTTGATAAACCATGTTAGATCTTAGTAAGGTTGATTAGCATGTGAGAGGTTAAACAATCAGAACAAGTGAATGATCCACCAGCAAATACTGAACCACATCCACTGGCTTGGGGTGTCTCTAAGAATCTAAACTGAGATGTTTAACCCAAATATTCTGATGAACACTCAATCCAGTTCACAGTTTCTCCGCTTAGGTCTACAGCATTTAAAAACTGCATCCTGCCTGCCCAAAGCTAACCTTAAGTAAGGACTATGTATTAGCTGTATGTTGTTATCATGTACATCTCTACAATGATAAAGATGGAAACTTTACTGATCATCTCCTCTTCGCAGTGCAACTGACACTGGGTTCTAAACTTCAATCTCTATAGCACTGTCTTCCGAGACATAAATCAGTGTCATTTTTATTCTAGTAAAAACCACTGACTTCTCTACACTCCAAACATCAGCATTTCAGTGCAGGGTTATAATTCCCAAGATCCACGTGCATCAAGATGGTATTACAATTAACAGTCTTGAGAAATGACACTAAGCATACTGAATCCTTCATCCTTCTATTTAGTCATCTTGAGGTTCAGAGGAATATCACGTGTCCTTTGAAGAAAAGAAGCATGTGTATGTACCTATGACACGGCCCAACATAGAGGCTTGTGACTTACACTGCCTTATGTTACAAAACACAGGACCACATGAAATGACCACTCTCAGCAGAAAAGCATTCCCAAGCAGATAATAGGTGCAGAAAAAGGAGTCTTTCCTGCATCAACTACACCTTTCATGTTTTAATAAATATGTCGCCCTGGAAATTAACTAGCTCGCAGCTGGGAATTCAGTCAATAATTCCATCATTTGCTCAATACCAAGCCAGTCCCCCAGCAGCTGCACTGCAAATCTGCTCTGTATTTGGAGGCACAGGGGCATGTTTTTGTATTGAAAAAGAAGAGTTATTTTGGTTGGTTGTTGTTTTATTCTTTTTTCAAATATGGTTCATACCAGACTGTAAACTACAGAACCGTCCGGCACGTAAACAAATAATTTTGCATATATTCATGTCTATCACAGCACTAATGAAACCCCTGATGTCACATTTCTGTATTTGAGGGACTTGATAGTTGCTTCCAAGAATAACCTTAAGTCGTAAGAATGCTAACCTTCCTCCTCCTTCCAATATGAAAATCAGATACTACACAATGTTGACCAACAAATGATTCCACTCTGGTTCTAGCGATAGCAAATGTTAACAAACTGATAACGCAAAGTTAAGCACAAATTTTACATATGCAGTATTCTGGGTGTTCAAATTATGGGCTAACAGAAGACACAACGCATAGCATTTTCCTTTAAAACTCATAAAAGATTATCTGTAACCAGTGAATAAAAATTTTCAATATTAAGTGCTGAAGATGCAGGCTAAACCATGAGAATGCTGTTTCCCCATTTTAGTGGGGTTTTTCTCATTATATGCTAATATTAACATTATTATATCTCAACATTTACCTGCAGTCTGAATTCTAACACATTTTCACCCGGTTTAATCCTTCCTAATTCAAGCAGATCTATCAGTTGAAGCTTCTTCCTGTTTCTTCTTCCATATCTCATTCGCTTTTGTTCACACTCCTGATTACTACAGCTCTGGGAAAATTTCTCACTGAGGTTTACTGGATAATCTGTATTTGAGGTAAGATTTGTAAGCACTGAGTTGGCATTAAATGACTTCTCACTACTCCAACAGATCATTTTCTGCAGAGCATTAGGAACTTTCTTTGTAGATGTTGACAAAATCACTTGCTGCTGCTGCTGCTGGAGAGCTTTTTTCTTATCTGCATATCTGTGTAGGTCCTTATCTGTAAGAATCTGCTGGCAGTCACTGGCTGGCTGAAAGACATTGACAACAGTGTTTCGGGGTTCTACAGTATTTAATGCATTGGTCACTGAAGTGGGATTTAAAGACCTGTTTCCTTGTTCTGGAATTGCTACATAATCAATGTCTTTTTGCTGTGAGCACTCTGCTTTAGCAGTGGAAACAGTAGGTTCTGAAGGCAGTGTCACCACTTCTACAGCATTTGTCAGTTTTGACATGTTGTCACAGGGATATTCTCTTACCCTGTTTTCAGATGCCAAAGCATGATCAGAAGCCTCTTTGCTTCTAATTGCTTCTTCATTTGCTCCTGTCTCATTCAAGCAGATGTGTGGATGTTGGCTGCACTCTTCAGCTGAAAATCTATTTTCTAAAGAGCGATGTGCTTCTACACTGCTTCCATTAGGCATGCTGGCACCAAGCCCCATACTAAATGTAACTACATCAGGACACATGATTTCATCAGCACTTAGTCTTTTATCATTTCCATGGGAAATAACTATGTTTGAGATTTGCTTCTCTGAACACAATGCACTGAACACTTGCTTTGTTTTTCTGTAATTTTGTATTTTCTGGACTAATTCTTCCTGGGTTTGGGCAATAGTCAACAGACTCTTTTGCCTAGAAGCAAGTTTAGCTAATTGTTTCCTCAGTGCTCCTTTTTCAAAAGACTCCATCGAAGCCCTACAGGAAATAAAAAAAGTAATAATAAGGACACCAGTTATTGTAAAAACAAAATAAAAACAGTTCAATAGACGTAATCCACTAAGAATAGGAATACGTTTCAAAGGACTCTGCCAATACCTAAAATTTGAACAACCTTTTCATCATGTATGAAGTTTATAGTTCAAACCCCAGGCTTATGTACAATAAAATGTAGAATCCTGTCTAGAATTAGGATGCAAAGCACCAAAACTTCAGTAATAGCCTTATCCTCCTATACCACCCTTAATTCACACAACTGAAATTGGGTGTGTATTATCATTGGCTGCTCTTTTGTCACCACTAATCACAATAGTTCACTGAATCCAATGCCTTTGCAGCTCTAATGAGGAGCCTCTTAAAATTGGCTCTGGATGAGTTACTGAAGAATCCTACTATCAGACATTGTACACAACAAAGCATTTTGTGAAGCCACAAGTGTAATAATACCCCAACCATTAAGAAAAGAGCAGTTTAGGATGTTCTGTGTTAGTTTGGGAATGTCTCTCCCTTAATCAGACCCTGCTCTCTAGCTGAGCTGGTCTCCCTGTGAGACTCCTTCCTGCTGGAAGGGAATTCCTCATTTTCCTCAGTTTCTTTGGCACAAGAGTCACCAGCCCACCGTAACCCGCTTTCCTCCTAATTCCCCCTCACGTGGCCAGTGATTGCACTACCACTCTGGCACCATGCTGCGAAGACAGGGGAGTACCACAAGGTGTGGGAAGAGGAATAGCAGCGTGGTTTGCTTTTAACTCCACTCACAGCAAAGGTGGAATCATGCAAGTAAAACCACCCCAGTCTTGGAAGAGAGACACCGTTGAGAGGATCAGGACAGAGCTACAGCAAGACTACTTGATACAGAACACGGACAACCAAACCCCAGAGTGACAGTATTGGTGTCCGTACTGTGACATAGCTTGCTATCACATGTGTTTAGAATCCATGATACGATCAGTGTACCAGCACATAGTTGATAAGAGTAAGCCTTGACAACTACAGACTTCTACATTGGCCAGTGAGGCTCCACACACTTTTCTAGCAGTGCTTCTTTAGGGAATTTTTGTTGTTTTATTGCCCCCAGTACAGGAAAGACATGGACCTTTTGGAGCGGGACCAGAGAAGGGCCACAAAAATGATCCGAGGGATGGAACACCTCGCCTATAAGGACAGGCTGAGAGAGTTGGGGCTGTTCAGCCTGCAGAAGAGAAGGCTCCGGAGAGACCTTATAGCAGCCTTCCAGTACCTGAAGGGAGCCTATAGCAAAGATGGAGACAATCTTTTTAGCAAGGCCTGTTGTAATAGGACAAGGAGTAATGGTTTTAAACTAAGGGAGGGCAGATTTAGACTAGATAGAAGGAAGAAATTTTTACCATCAGGGTGGTGAAACACTGGAATGAGTTGTCCAGAGAGGTAGTGGAGCCCCTCCCTGGAAACATTCAAGGCCAGATTGGACAGGGCTCTGAGCAACCTGGTCTAGTTGAAGACATCCCTGTTCACTGCAGGGGGGCTGGGTTACACGACCTCTAAAGGTACCTTCCAACCCAAAGCATCCTATGGTTCTGTGATTCTATGATTCTAGACATGGTCATCAGACGTTCTAAAAGCATCCATTGAACACGATGTTACATTGTTAGCTGAGCACTCACCACTTGGCCATCATTCAGGTAGTCCCTCTCAGAAGGAAGCAGAGAGAGGCCTCATGAGAGCTAGCAGCAGGAAGCTGACAATTCACACAGTCCATGCTCACACTGAGGTGAGCACTCCCAGCTCACATGTGAGGTGTCCTCACAAAAAAGAACATCTACAAGCATGCTTCAAGCCTTTGCTCTAAATGGCTGTTGTAGCTGATTGAACACTCCCATTCTAGTGATACTAAAGAAACAAAACTGGAGGCAGAGACACTAAAGTAGTGTCTGAGTTGCTATTCCTTTCCTCCACGATGCTCCAAAAGTAATCTAATTTCTCAGTACCCACACTTCCTAATTTTTGCTTAGGTATTTTTTCACACCTTTTGTATGTTCACTACCTAATTCCAGTGCTCACTGTGTACACAGTAACTACCTAGTACGCGTTAGCTAAATCCTGAAGTCCGTCCTTGATGTAAACTCTTACTGGAGGTAACTGAAGTCAATACAGGTCACACTTCTGCAAAATTTGAATAAAACCCACATAGTTTTACTTTCATGCTACTGTATTATAACCTTCTCACAACATCTATCAACTACTGCTATAAAGAATAACCTCCTATAAATACGATCCTTCTATTTTACTTACCTGTATTTTTTAGCAAGGGTATCCCTTTCTGTTTTCTGTTTTGCAAGCATTTCATTCAAAGTAACTTGCACCTGAGACAGCCTCTGGACATACATCCCTGTTCAACATTTTGATATAATCAAAATGACAATGGTAATAAGCAGTAGAAAATAATCATAGTAATAACATTTTACATGTAGCAAATATACAGCCAAAGTATGAGAATATTGTTACAGCACTAGTTTATACTGTCATACATATTGATAACTCTTTACAGGTTCAGTACTTTTAATGAAATTCTTCATAGAAAGAATTAAATACAAGTTTAACTTAAAAGGACATAGTCCAAGTACTGGAAAATATTGAAATGCAAGTGCCTTGTCTAGGAAATTACTAAGAGAATAGGACAGATTAAAGAACTGTCTTATGGATGATAAGCACTGAAACTTTTAAAGTTCTTTGTGTTGCAAGGAGCTGCATAACATCATGATTTTATGTGAGGCTAAGTGCAGAAGTTACACAATCTTAAGAAGGTGGCTAAAACCTTTATGTTTGAAGTATTATAAAACAGCCTAAAGAGCTCAGACTGTTCCAAGTTACATATAATGGTAAAAACATATGTATCATAGTGTCACATACGTTCAAATCCATATCATGGAATAAAATTAATTTTAAGTTCTCCCTTTTTGTTAGCTGTATTTGTATAAAGTAAGAGAAGCAATTATAAATTATTCTTTTTATGCCCTATTTCTTAGCCATATAGCGTAAGGGACAGCTCAGAAGTCATGACCAGCAGATATCACTGCAATAATAAGCTAAATATGTAATCTAATTCTTGAAATTCTAAAAAGCGGAAGTACAAGCTGTCCATATCCATGGAAAATGGGAAACTACAGGATTAAAAATGGCGTTTATAAAATGTTTCCCCAAACTTGTTTCATAGTATCTACCAGTATTTACCTACTTACTAAAGTAGAAAAAATATTAAAATATTGCTCTCATTAAGGCAGCTTAATAAGGAATTTGAATCTATTATTTACAGTAGGTTGTACTGAAAGCAAATACCTTTAGGATTTTATTCTATGTTTTAAGTTTGTCAGTGTACCTCTATGTTCCTGCAAATTCTTGTGTCTCTTCACAAGTAATAAATATGATTTAGTTTAAGAGGTGCTCAATTACTAATGCTTTTGTCAGTATTGGTAACAGATTACCATGTTCTTTTCTCTCATGCTCCTACACAGGAAAAATCTGATAGTATTATTTTGCTCATTTATGAAATTGCACTGATATCTGTCTATAGGCTTCTGTTTATTATTTCACCTACCTGTTTGTCAGACATTTTTCAAGAAAACACATCCATTTTAATTAACAGGTCATAGACCACAAATTTGAGCTGGAAGATATATATATCTGCATAATTCCGTATTTCACATTTATTTTTAAAGGAATAAATTGACTATTTTAAATAAAATTCGAAAGCTCCACCCTATATTCAGGAAAGTAAATTTTAAAAACCCCTTTCCTTTCCGTCAGGAAGCAAAACTGTTTCACGGGCATCAGCTGCTCCAAAGTAAACAGCCTAGACATCAAGGGCAGCTGGGGAGAGAGACTTTGGTCAAATGAGCTCCTGCAGCAAGCTTTGCCACTTGAACAGTCATGGCACAGACACAATAGACTCAAACCGCTACACAGCACCAGCATCGTGATGTCCTGGGAAGTCAGTGTCACTTAGTAGGCTCTTGAGATTAATCTGAAATGATATTTGACAGCCTAAGACAAATTACACCTCCAGGCACCAGACTTTCTGAAACTGCCCATCATCCACAGTGTCTGCTTTAAAGATTTCCCTTTTTTCCCCTCATAAATTATTTTAGGCTCCTGAAAGTCCGGCCACACTACAATGAAAATGCTGCATCTGTTACTCTGCAGAGAGACATAGCTGTTCTTGATCACAGAGGGGCTCCAAAAGAATCTCATATACTCGTAACTGAATAATGTTGCCAACAGTGTGCATTCTTATCTAATAATCCCTTTTGATTATCCCTAATGACTACACTGACTTGAAACACATGCCTCCAAGTGGCTTGCTTCCCTTTTTCGTCATCATCTTCATTCCTATGAAAACTGGAAGTAGTTCAGGAAGTGCACTTACCTGGGAGCTGTTATTAAAATCTTATTCTCTGAAGCTGTATTTTCCAGAGGAGATATTAAAATATATTATGTGCCATACTATTTTAACAACAGTTATATTACCAAAGTTATTTACAGAAAGAAAAAGTGAAACAATTTGAATTTACGCCTACCTGCATCTTTGCAAGTTCTCAATTCAAGTAGCAACAGTTCTTTTTGCTTCTCTTCTGCATCTTGTATGGCAGCAACAGATTCCTGTTAATAAATATATAAACAATAGTAAGCAGTAGAGCCAAGTGCATTGTACAAAACACAGGCCATGATGCATGGCCTGCAGGATAAGTATCGGTGGACTGAAGTAATCATAGACAGAGAATTACTGTGTAAAGGCAATGGGGGCACTGGTAGGATAGATGTACGCAGTGCCAAGGGTATGCTCTGCAAGGGGCTGTCACAGCCTGGTTTTGCCCTGGCATTCAAACTAGCCCATGCTCAGAGCCTCACCTTTGAGCGCACCACAGGGATTAGACAGTGAATTTCACCACGACAGAATCACCTAGACAATGTAGATACAGATGACAGATACCAAGCAAGAGCTCTCCTAACATACAACTTGTGCAAAAATCTTCTTGGGTGTTTTAAATTAAGCTTAAACAATTTCTAAATAACTTCATTGTCATGAAGAAAAATCATTACTCTTTCAAAAAGCCATTTTGGAAATATGATGAAAAGTTTCAAGATTCCTGACTTTTTTCTATTGATATAGGCAGTAAGAAATATATAGAAGTATTGACTACTGTCTGCCCAATAAGTGCAAGCGCACAGGAATCACAAACAGAGACAATTGATAATATATACACTTACATACTGTAAGCCACAGATTGTATACTGTAAGCCTCTGCATGATGCTGTTTTTTACACATATTCTAAAGGCTTAATTATTTAAATGACATTTTTATGTTATTATTTCGGTAAATAACACTATGGAGTACACTACAAAGCAGTTTAACAAAACTCTATTATCTATACTTACCACACTGTATTTCTCATGTTGTGGCTCCAAAGCTACATCATGATTTCTACAGTAGTTGTAACAACAATTTGCTCTTCTTCTTGACCTAGAAGGGTATCTCCTCGCTCCACAAATAAGAAAAAATAAATAGAATTTAATATGAATTTACAGGAGTATAATAGGTTACATTAGCTAATATACGTTACAAAGATGCAATGGCAGATCACATAATTAAAAAAATCTTGTACATGCAAATGAGATCATCTTTAGGCAGCATAAGGAAATAAATCTTTAAAGCTACCACTTCCAAAAACACAAGGTTACTGTAAATGGAAATTGTTGTGGTTTAATCCCAGCCAGCAACTAAGCACCACACAGCCATTCACCCACTATCCCCCAGTAGGATAGAGGAGACAATCAGAAGAGTAAAAGTGGTAAAATACACGGGTTGACATCAAACCAGTGTGAGAAGTAAAGCAAAAACCACGTGCACAAGCAGAGCAAAACAAGGAATTCATTCAGTCCTTCCCATCAGCAGACAGGTGCTCAGCCATCCCCAGGACAGCAGGGCTGCGTCACGTGTGACGGTGACTTGGGAAGACAAACGCCATCACTCTGAATGTCCTCCCCTTCCTTCCCCCCCCTGCTTAATGTGCTGAGCGTGATGTCATATGGCATGGGATATCCCTGCGGTCGGGGGGGGCCACCTGTCCTGGCTGTGTCCCCTCCCAGCTTCTTGTGCACCCCCAGCCTGCTCGCTGGTGGGGTGGTCTGAGGAGCAGAAGTGGTCTGGACTCTGTGTAAGCACTGCTCAGCAACAACTAAAACGTCCCTGTGTTACCAACACTGTTTTCAGCACAAATCCAAAACGTAGCCCCATACCTGCTCCTATGAAGAAAATTAACTGTACCCCAGCCAAAACCAGCACAGAAATATGAATAAAAAAATCTGAAGACCCAAATATCTCCTTACACCTCATTCTCTCAGGAAAAAAACCCTACCTCATTTATCCTAATTTCTGAAAATAAATGAATAAATAAAAATGCAGTAGTTAACTGAGCTAAAAATATCAGTGTCAGGCAATCTGCAGCTCTGCAAATCAGCAGCATTCTAATGTACAGGTTTTTCCTTAAGACCACAAGGTAATCCTATGATGTACATTACAAAACCAACACACCTGTAACTTCAGTAGTCTCAGCAGCAAGTACAGATTCCACAGCACTGTAAGACTTCAGCAGTTCTTTCATTTCATCATCACAAGCTGCATCCAAAGCACTTTTTCCTGAATCATCCCTCTCACAAGTATCTGCTCCATGCTGTAGTAGAATCCTGACTGTCTATTATATACATATTATTATTATTTGTACTGTAATCATTCTTATTGCGGAATTATAATACATCTATATATGTTGTATCTATCATAAGTTACAAATAATAAAGATACAAATAAGATACTCTAAAACCTGTTACATGTGCAATCCCAATTAAACAAACAAGTTTAATTGGATATTATCAACACAAATAATTCACAACTTGTCATTAAACCTACCATCTTTATGGTATTGTTAAAGAGAGCAATTAAAAAACTTCATATATCTAAATTAAAAGGAACTGGTCAATTGTATTAAGACCTAAGTGCAGAAAATAAGCGGATTTTTTTCTTTATGTATTTAAAAGTGGCTTTGTTTTTCAGTTACACGCACTGATGATTTTTTTCCTAATTCTAAATCACTTGCAAGTCTGCTTAATTGTAAAATGTGGAAATAAGACTAGTAGCATCAGCGGAATCATCTGCCCACTAAAATTCAGCTCATACGAAAGTGCTGACGAGGTCAGAGCTTGGATGGTAGAGAATTTTCACACATATCATTTCTCAACTCTAGCATTTCTTGTTCTTTCTTACATTCAGAGCGCTCTTCGCTATCAGAAAGTACCAGAAAGGGAATACTCTACAGAAGTTCAGAATCTTCTCCACTGGTTTTCCTCCACAGTACTGAGTAATAGCTTCCATGCTTTCAAAACCCCTACTGATAGTTTGGCACCAGGCATGTGAAATCATCCCCTTCATTTCACGTTTGCTCAGAGAAAAGGTAAATGTGATGAAGTATCAGCTCTTCTGACAGGAATAGAAGCAGTATCTTTGAGCCAATCTGGCATCACCTTTTTAGGCTCAGTTCCATGGAACTCACTGTGCCAAAACAACATTTTATTTATTTCTTCATTCAAATAAAAGGCAGACATTTGGCTGAGCTTGAGCGGTGCATTTCTCACATAAGCACAGATTTAAAGGTGCTTTTGTGACTTCAATTTTCTCGCCAGGTTTATCAGAAACCCCAAACCCATGTTTTAGAGCAAGTGCCACTCTACATCTGGGGACCCAGGTCACAGTTCCACAGCTACCTATGACCACCTGTGCTGAGGCCACCTTAATCCTACAGCATCCACAATGGGCCACCCAGGCCCATTCCTTCACTTACACTAGCACTGCTCTTACGTGGGCTCAAGTGGCTGTTCCAAACAAAGCCTTGCTTTTGTAGGATTCATCTTCCATCTCTTCAGCTCCCTGAGCTAGTTTTATCTGTGACCACTGAAATGCTCAAGACAACGCAAGAAAGGAGGTAAGCTCACATGTCCAGGCACGGGACTGAGGACTGCAGCATTTGGGACAGACGGCCTCTAAGTGTTAATGGAGCCTCAGCCTAGCTGTCTACGCACAGGACTCATGACCTTATTTTGGGGTCTGGATGGACTGGGCACAGATTGACAAAATGCTGAACAGTCCAGCTAATCATCACATTTTGATTTTTTTTTTTCTCAGCAGAGTATGGATTATTTAGGGCTGATTTAAACTGGTCATCATCCAAGAGTAGAGACAGAAAGCATGCTAGTTTCAGCTTTACCTTACTTTCAAGCCTGCCTACAGGCACTAGCCTTGCAGTGTAGACTAGGCATATAAGGGATGACCCAACTGTTATTTCTAGCAATGTTTTAACGTACTGTTTCTGGTTTCCCCAGATAACATAGCTCTGCAAACTTATGCAGTCTACTGCTTTGTACCTTTGCATGCCTTCAGACTGAGGTTCAGGATGAGGTGACTCTTCCAAAGGAAGTATGTTGGTAAAAGTCAAGCCATCACCTAGGTGAACTGGTCAGCACAGGTACCATGGCCCAGACACACTAAACTACGGGATGTCCTTCAAGACATCAAATCATCCATGAGCTGTTCTGCTGGCAGTCATGTCTTTCTGATCCTACCTCCTTGCTCGTTGTCTGACTGCTTTCACTTGCATAAATGCTGGACTTTCGTGAGCTTTCTGAGCGCCGCTGAAATCCCCCAGCTTTTAACGCAGGTAAAATGTATCAGATGCAGTGTTTATTTATAGAGTGATTTTCTCTCATTCTTGTGCTAATGTAATTTTGTCATGTTCTCACTGAAATGAAGGAAGATCACACAAACTACATAGAGCTGCAAGACACCATCAGTAAGATTCCCCCATGCAGTGTTACCTTGTTACGGCAACTGTTGCATAAATATTTTTTGACTCTTGGCTTTTTAGAAACAACCACTCACAATCCTGAGAGAGGCCACCAGCAGGTGACTGATGCATGCAATCTTAGTGCTCTTAGAAATGTACCCCTTTCTTTGACTGCTGAAAATACTTTACAATCTCCACGCTCACAGAATAAAATTTAAGTTGAGATGGATTTCCTTAACATTAAATCAAAGTATTTTTAAACAAGGAACAAAGAAAACATCTATGGTTCAGAAACATTTACAAAAGGGAAAGAATTATAACTGAATGTGTTTTAAAAATTTTAAATCCAATATTTTCTTTTGTTATTGTGATACTTCTTTCACTTCAGTCCAGCTACCCCTGACTTTAAATAATGTAGAATCATAGACCCATAGAATGGTTTGGGTTAGAAAGGATGAGTTAACAAAAAAATGGTTGAGTTTTAAACAGTAGGCCTAATTTTTTTTCTTTACAAGAAAGAAATATTTTACAATAAGGGTGGTGAAACACTGGAACAGGTGGCCCATCCAGTTGTAGACGCTCCATCACTGAAAGCGTTCACAGTCAGGTTGGACAGAGCTTTGGGCAAGTCGATCTAATGAAAGATGTCCCCGCCCACAGCACTGGGGCTAGGCTAGATATCAAATTGAGAATGCTTAATTTCAGTATTATTTTTAAAAACCCCAATATGTGGGAGAGAACCATAGGGAGCTTCTGCATTTTTCTGATTTGTCCACTGGAATGAAAAAGACAACTAACCATACAATTTCAACTGTCACTATTGAAAAATATTTCTTTCTCTAATTTTGATCATTTTAAAGCATACTGATTAATTTCCTATGTGCAAATCTACACTACAATTGTATTTGTAACTCTGACTTTTCTTATTTAAATCGGGATTTTGCTTTGCTGATCCTCTGCTGGAAATGAGGCTTAGGAAACTCTTGTAAAAGAAGAATGTACCTCCAAATAATTGCCAGAAACTGCATCATGTATTGGCAAAGTACCATTCAGACTTCTGCTGTTAACATTAGCACCAGCTTTCAATAATTCTAAGACCACTTCAGTAAATCCCCTATTGGAAGCTTCGTGAATTGCTGTCCAACCTAATAAAAGCAAGATGACACATAAAGCATGCATCTGATTTGAAGACATCCACATAGATCACTAATCAGTGATTATACATTTTGCGGTGTTTGCTGTACTACAAGCAATGAACTACTCTCTTTAAGGTAAACCTTATACTAAAAATCACATTGAAATGCCAAGGTAAATTATTTCCTGTGTAACTCAGTTTAGAGAAAAATTTATCCAGTACTAACCAGACAAATACTGCTTACTTTTCCACTACACTACTAAAAATAATAAAAGAAACAAAACAATAGAGTAGAAAGACTCTAGAAAACTCAGAAGCATAACATTAATAGTCTGATTTCTAATCCCAGTGGCATTTTATCATATCAAGTCTGCTAGGCATCCAGAATAGAGTATCATCCATTCTGAGACTACAAAAACAGAAATGCATTATACATTTAAGTAGAAAAAAAGAAAAAAATAATCTTGTCGTCTTTGTCCTCATTTCTTAAGAAAATGAGATTTATGTGAATGTGCTTCACCCATGTATATATACACGTGTGTAAGCATTAGTCCTCCCCCTGAACTTTCATGTCCACTTTCCGTACGTATCTCTGAAAATGTGCTCTCCAGCAGAGGAGCAAGACCTAATTAACGCCCCTGCTATGAAAAAACTGCACCACACTCAGACACAAAATTCAGGGGTTCACTGACTGTGCTTGCACTTCTTGAATTACTTTCTTTCCTCCTCACAATGATATTATAAATCAAGAATCCAGAATTGTATTAAAATTATACAAATTATATAAAAACATATACACTATAAATTACTTGAAATTGTATCATAAATCAAGCCCATAAGAGAGTAATATTCAAACCTGCATAATCCTGTTCATTGACACAAACTCCAGATGATATTAGAGTTTTCACTAAAGACAAATCTCCCCTCATAGCAGCAATATGCAGTTGAGTTTCCCCTTTGGCATTTCTCTTTATCTTTCTCCTAGTTCTTGTATTATAGGTACCACGTAAAATTACAGCTTCTTTTCTGGTAGATAGGGAAGATTCTAAACACATATTGGGTGTTTATTAGGAACCACAAAAAATGTTTCATTATAAACAAAGAATCATGCTTCATAACTCATTTGGATTACTGTAAATGTGTGAAATACCATTGCCTTAATTATTCAGTAACATCAGATGACTACATCAAAAAGTTAGAAGGTACTGTGTAACAGTTCAGATAATAAATAGACCCTATGCAAAAGAATTTACAGTTCAAATCTAGATGACTTAAACGGGTACAATGGATCAGGGATCAACAAAAAAGGTAACAAGGTTGAAGTTATATACTACAGAGAGGTAGGGAGTATGTTACATTTCTCCATGGACTGCTTTCAAGTTACCAGGCATGCCTGCTAAATACATAAAGTACACACATGAAGGTATTTAAGAAACCATATAAAAGTGAAGACTGTACCATCACCTCTTTTCCATTTCTGATTCTGTATCAGGGAAGAGATCGGCTTCTACATATGGTATTTTTGCAGCTGTGACACGAAAAGATTCTGCAGACTGATTACAAATCTTTGATTAACGTCTACTGACATAGCTGAACTGCCTTTTAATTAAACCTGTGCAGGACTGGACTCATGATTTACATTATATCATGTGATCATCAGACATATCCCAATTCTGAGGCTTCAGGTAACAGACATACCAAATTGTATGAGATATAAAGGAAAAAACAGATTTTAAAAGTACTGATTCTGCCTGTAGAGTAAGGACAGCCCCCTCCCCCCAAAACTGCTAGGAAAAAGACAGGATGCATAAATTTTCAAAAGCTCTACCATGCATTTTTTTAAACTCCTGTTCCTACTGTTATAATACTGTGCTATCGGGTTTTTTAGAAGTTCACACTGTTCTTTCTCTGATTTCTTGGAAATCTGTAATTTGTCAAAAAAAAGGGAAGTGTAAGGTTTTAAATAAGCATTTTGCAACTCATAACCATGTTTTTTCAAATTTTTTTCTATGAACAATCAGTTGCTGCATCCTAATCATTTCCTCCTCTCATCAGACAAGCTTTCTTCTCAAGTATTTTCAGTTATCAGTATCAATTGCTGTCAAACATCTTCCATGATTTGACAGCTGCCTTTCCTCAGGCTCCTCCTGCCTTCTGGAAAATCTGCTTTTCCCAAGTTTCCTTTAAGGTAAACAACTAAACTTGTCACCCAAGACTGTTTGGAAGAACATGAAAGACATACTGCAACTATATTAAAGATAGACATACAGTTAGGATATATCCATACTCATTTTAAACTAACTTGTTCAGGCACTCCTGCAGCCAGACCATGGTAGCATGAAGCTCACTGTAGGCTATTCTGATCTGTCAGAAAGCACTCAGGCGGTCCTCTGCATTGGGGGTGCTTGGACCACACCATATTGGCAACCAGAAGAGCTAAAGAGTTTCTTTTTTAAATGAAAACTAAGATGCTAGAGCACACTGAGAAGTCACATTATCGAAATACTCCTCCGATCTGAGATTTACTTTTATGTAAGATAATGTATTGTGTTTTGTCTAAAAGCTTCTGGGTCTGAACTCCCAAAGCAATCATCTGCTTTCTGGTTCTTCCTTCTCCTTCTCTTTGATTCATGGGAGAATGTCCTAGGGACTCTTTAGGGACACGGGAGGAAAAAAAGGCATACAATCGCCCATTAAGCTAATGACCCTTAGCAATATCAGCTGCAAGTGAACAGAAATAATTGCAGTTTTCCAGTTAAGTTGTCATGCACAACAGTTTTCTTCATCGCTGTTAGGAAACATTTGCAAAAGCACAATGAGACATTGGTATGTGAATCACAAAATACTGGTTCTCTGTGGAATGCATTGCTGAGTGAGTCATGCACAGGACACGTACGAAGATAAGATGAAGACATTACAGTACCCAGCAATCAGACTAGATTAGGCTGCCATACCGCAACAACTTCAAGGATATCCTCCGTCAAAAAGACATTTGAATACTCCAACATTGATCTATGAGTAATTCTTTCCACAGGCTGAACTATAAGAAAAGCAGCAAGCTGTTAGTACCTTCCTTCTGTGCAGGCAGAATAGGAATGTTGAGACCCTAGTGACTGACTGCAGATGAAAGTGACACTGCGTCATTTAGAAAGGAAAGATTTTTATTCAATATAAAGAAGACCATGACCAATCAGATGAGATGTAAAAGCCAGTTAATGAAGAAGAGGCATGAGACAGCAAAAAATCTGAAAACCCCCCACGTCAGAAAACTCTCCATCTTCCACTTTTTCCTACTGCAATCTGAATGCCATTCTCCCAGTCTCCAAAGCTATTAATGCCTTCAACTGTACAAAGAGGTATACTTTCTCATATCACCTCTCAAACAGCAACATTTTCCTGGGATGAAGGAAATAATTAAATTTTAGCTGAATAAAATATTACCTGAAGAATCTCTTTTGGGGAAAAAGCAATCTGTGAAATGCTATTCCAGAGGAGAACAAAATGTAAGACACGTTTGGAATAAATTTTTTTTTAAAACCATAATTGTACATAGGAGGCAAAAAACAAAGGAAAAATCCAGAAATGTATTACTGCACATAGACTGTATTAGAAAGACTGAGCAAGAATACAGGAGCTACAAAAAGGGACACCTATAGGGAAATGAATCATTTCTATGTTCAATGTTTATTATTCCACTAATCAGCAGTGGATGATGACATGTACCAAATACGCCATGGATTTTTTGCCAGAATGAAGTGAAAAGGCATTCCTACAAGAGGAGGCACCGATTTGGAGACAGGAAAGCTAAGTACTGACACTGCCAAATACTGGAGAGCAGTAAGTAACAAGAAACACCTAGTCCACTCCTTCTCCTTCCAACTTCCACAAGAAAACACGACCTTGCAGTCCAGAAAATCAAGAGAGCATGAACTTAGGATGGGTTGAAAACTAGCAGCCACCTGAGATGGGAAGAAGAGATAGTATTCTGTACAGCTGAAGACAGAACAGGACAAGACGTCTGTGACGATCTAGGAGAAAAAGATCAGCAGGAGCTTCACATAGTTTTCTGGATGTTTTTTGTCATGTGTTACAGGCCCTTGCAAAGATTGGCTGATGACTCCTTAAATCAACTTACAAGACCAGTGAGCTTCCAGATGAGGTCTCCAAAGAGAAGGAGGGTACTAAGCAAAGAACAAAAAGAGGTAAACAAATTAGTATGTTGATAGTATGTGTGCAGATGTATTTGTCCATACTGTCTGTGCGTGTACAGGTGGGCGTCTATACTTGTTATACATATTATTTTAAGTATACATGCTCTTATGTACACTGGTTTTAAAAACATTTAATGGATGTAGGAGCATGAATCCCATCGATTTTCAAAATATATATGATCTATGAGCATTTAGTTACATCCCACTCAAAGGCAACCGAAGTTTGACCAGCAGACTACAGAAACACATAACTGCAACCCAAGGAAGAAACTAAAATTTTCTGCTGCACACACTTGGAAAAAATAAGTCAAATGTTATATCCACATACAAATACACATGCATTAACACATATTTCTATAAACCTATAGACACAAAACCCCACCTTTTCTTATGTATGTATATACAAAGCATACATTTACTCTGATACGGTAGTTATTTGAAAGGGAGTTTCACAGAGTTGGAAACATTTATAAATAAGAAACAGTGTGAAGAAAAAATGTCAACAGAAAAATAGGAATAACAGCTAGGAAATATTTCACAACATCTCTCACACTCAAAATGAAAAGCTGCACTGATTCAAAAAAAAACCTGGCGTAGGAAAGGAATTAGAGAGCAATAGTTAATGAGAAATGAAAATATGGGAAGTGAATGGTAACAAATATAAACAGGAGTGTAGAAAACTGCTGTGGAAAACAAAAAAATACAAAGAGATAGCCACAGACAACTTCAGTCCTAAGAAGGCAGTATTTTAAAATCTATCAAAACCAGAAAAAATAATTCCCAAACTCTTCATTACTAGAGAGAAATGACAGGATTGTCTAAGATAATCAGAAAAGACAAATATTCTATCTATTCCATATCAAGGCAAAGCTACACAAGAAATTCCTATCATCTAATGACACAGTGCATTTGATTTCAACACAAGTTAAGAAGTTTGCCAAATTATATGAGGATAAACCTTTTTGAATCCGCAGTCCATGTATATCACATTTGAAAGTTTTAAGAGAGGAGGGATCCCATCTCAACTACTAGGTTTTGCTTTTAGTAAGTATTGAGTGCTATGGTTCTCTGGTTCCAGAAAGAACCAGATGGGACCCCTCCTCTCTTCAAGAGAAACAAAGAACCACAATACACAAGATGACTGCCAGCTTTACCAAAAGAGCAGTAAATGAAAAATACTTGGGGGTTATGATGCATGACCAGTTGGACCAGAGCTCTGTTGGGATGGTGAGGCTACAAGGTAAATGTAAGTTTTAGACATGGGATGAAACTGCTAAACAGAAAGCTGTACATATAGACTGAAGAGAATATAACCACTGGAGGACGCCAGATCCTTATCCTCATGTAAGTAGGTTTGTTTCTACACCACAGCTAAAACCAAACGTACTGCTACAATCAGAGCCTATGCTGATATATGCCTGATGAGGATATAGTCTATAAAATATAAGTGGACGTATGTGTGCCAAATATATGGAAAGCCAGGTTTTCTTCTTTGATCTGTGATATGTAAAATAGTGAACTGAGGACCAATTTAGTGTTATTTTAAACTATCAGTTATGTAACATAGTTAACTGAGGATCAATTTAATTTTATTTTAAGCTCTCAGTTATGATCCTGCATCCCCTCAATCATAACACTGAAAGACTGATGAATGTAACATAAACAAAACAGACGAAGTATGTGCATTGTGTAAAATGGATCCACAAGATCTGGAAATGTTTCAAGTATCTGGAACTCTTAACTAGAGTATTTCCTTAATGTGCTATACATATGTTTCCAAACTTAGCTTCATGTACTACTAAAAGTCTTTTTTGCATATGTCTGGGAATAAACCCCCACCATTTTTACAAAACATTAACTTTTCACCTGATTTCTTGGATGTTTTCTGTTCTGATGCTTGACTGATTTGTGTTTGTTCAGACGAAAGCTTGGTTTTGCTGCTACTGGAATACGAGGCTGCCTTTTGGCTTGTCTCCTGAGGGTCTAATCTTACTCTTTTACTTTGGACTACTTCTGTTTCAGCAAACTGTGAAAGCATGTTGGTCTTTGCATTTCCTTCTTCTTCTTTTTCAGTGCTTTCTGTTCCACTTACTCCAGCAAACACTTCTTCACCTGTTGGCTTAACAAAAGAACTTGGAGTATCCGTGGCATAACAGTAATCTCAGAAATTATAACTGATATTAAAATGAATGTCAAAATGACCACCTCGTCTAGATTTAAAAATGCCAGCAGTAACTCACTCAATTTTTGAAAATACTTTAACATAATAAATCCTTATCCACTATTCACTGTATGTTAACGTACTAGGATTGAATCCAAAACAATTCAAAGATTCTTTTGTGAAAATATGATCTCTATTGATTCTTTGGTATTTAAAAAAACAAGGTATTTAAGAAATTCCTTCTAATTATTGTAATGACATTGCAGTCACATTTCGGCAAATCCAATGGGGACTTGGATATAAAACAGCCCCCAAAATATAAAGCAAAAACAAGTAAATAGTTTATCTGGCATAGTGGACTGTACCACAACACATTTCATGTGTCTGCTATATATTTATGGCAAAATATATTCTTTGGAGATCCACAGCTGGCTTTTTCTAATAAAAGACATAGAATGTTTACAACAAACTCGTAAAATAATTATTTTCAAACACAACATGGCACCTGTTTTCTGGGAGATTTCTTTCTGCACATTTTCCATAATCTGAGATGAATAAGGAGACCTGCTGCCTGCATTAACACCAAAATGCCAATCTGCTTTAGAGTTGGTCTCCTGAAGATCGTCTCTCTTTCGTCTAATTTGAAGTTTGTCCTTTTCATGGAGTTGTAAAGCTGTAGGCTCAACCTCTAAATTACTAACATTTTCAGTTTCAATGTGACATCCTTCAACACTTTCTTCTGCATCAAGTAGGATCCTCCCTCCTTTCTCTGACTGCAGGGCCTTTTGTTCAGTGGCGCTTAGTACGCTTCTGGTAGCTTTATAAGGACTTTCAGAAACACTCTCTCCATTAGCAGCTGCTAAAAGCTCATGTGCTTTTTCTTGAAGTGTCTGTTCAGTGCAGCTGGCTCCATCTTCAGATATATTAGTATAAATGTTTTGTACCTCATTTACAATAGCCTGTTGCAGCACATCCATGCTGTCTGAGCCTGTAAGATTTGCGCATGCTGGTTCTGACTCATCTGTCTGTAAGGAAATCTATTCAAACAAAGGCAAAGGGAGTTTTAAACTTAAAGCCTCTCCATTAACTTTGTTTCCATCAACATCAGATTTAATATGATTTGTCAAGTTTTGCAAAGAAATAATTTGTTCTGAAGGTATTCTCGTATCAGTATTTAGATTCCTGTCACTCAAATTACTACTCTTACTCTACTTGAGACTATGCTGATCACTGTCGTAACTCTTTACTTCCTGCTGTAACTTTAAAACAGAGACACTGTGAGAGGAAGTCAAAGCAGGTAAGTATTGACAGAGAATCAAGTTCTGTTAAATCAGTAGTCTGAGAACGCTGTGCAGACATTTTTTCTCCAGAAACCACTGATGTGGGGCAACGCAAACTGGTGATCTCCTCCCCTGTTGCAACAGCAGTTGCTGAGCTTCCACCAATGTGGTGTACCGCTTTCACTGTTACCACTGTTGAATTCACATTCCTGTCGCAATTCTGTTTGACTTAGCTCAGTTTTCCAACTGGGATGCATTAATTACAATTAGAACAGCAACATTGTGCCCCATTTCGTTGGGTCCAGTAGCAGGGAAATACATTTTCTGTAATTTAACTGTTCCTTGGTCTGCCAAGCAGACCTAAACATGAGGTCCATCTAATGTGATATATCACTTTTAATAGTTTTACTCTTGGCTGTAACCTCTGCTTTAACAATGGAAGATCTATTTGTCTTTTTTGACTTCAGGTTTTTTTTCATTCGGTTTGCTGCCTTCAGAATCCCAAAGGACTTTATTTTTTTTGTATTTTGACAAATTTGTTCTTCTGCTTTGCTCATTTTTAGCAAAACTTCCTTTGATGCTTTAGTATTATCATGTTGAACCGTCCCACCTGCATTTAATTATCTCTACAAAACAGGCCATATACTTAATTTCATCTTCTGATAAATTGCTCTCTTATATACTAAAATAAAACTGTACTACTGTGAAATTAACTGATTTCCTCTGTCTATGCAGCTTTTTATGACAGCAGGACAAAGAAATTAAGGAACTAAGAAATATATGTATAAAAGTGTAAAAATTAATGGGTGAAATCCAATGATAAATATTACTGAAGTGCTTCACACTTCTATTCATTTCTGAAAATTGAACTGTTTTTGAATTAATGCACTGCCTTTAAGAATTAAAACTACGTTGCTCCTGTCGTCCTACACCAGAGCAACAGTTTCACATTTCTGGCAAACCTGTCTGCAATGATACTAAGAAATTACAAAGAAAGGGTAATAACACAGCAAAACCACACAGAATGAACTCATGGTAATCTCACAACAAAACTGCTCCAAAGGCCCAATGACTAACTAGAATTATCCTGTTGATGACTTCGTATCTGGAGATAGAAGCAGAACACAAACACTGTAACAACTCACACACTACTGAAATTGTCAGTTACACAGCCTGGTAAAATAATAGGTTTTCCCAATGAAATGCTTACAACACCTTCTACTCGTAGAATACCCTTCATGAGTCAACTAATATATTAAAGTGTAATCTACAAGTATACACCATGAATGCTGTTACAGCAGACCATGTCTAAGGACACCACAGACTGCAGTACTGTGAGTAACAAGGGCAGTTATCACAACCGCATAAAACTTCAGGAAGTAAGAACAAAGTGTCTGTGCACACTGCACTGTATGTATCAGATACTACCAGTTACCGTTGTTCAATGGGGAGAAAACGCGAGCGGGAGAGGACAGTTTTTAATGCCAAAAGCTGTTGTGCTATAGGCAAACAATGACCCAAGCGACTCATTATGGTGCCTTGTCCTCATGTGAGGCACTAGCTCCCACATCTTACTGAGGTCTCACGTCATAACTGTGTGACCTCTGTACAAGGCAGTGGCTTCCCAACCCTTTCCTATCAAAACCAAACACAACCTACCACACAGGGGCAAGCAGCAGCTATCCTGCTGCTACAAGCCTGTCAACATTTTGCGGTTTGAGTCAGGCTTCTGCAAGCACAAAGAGGCACTGACGTACCATGCTGCTTGTAAATTACCTCTGCAGACCTTCCAAAAACTCAGCAAGAACCACTGTCTGTGACAGGCAGCTGATTGCCTCTGTCTTGCACCTTCATGAGGCTGCAGCTTATCCCAAGTACCAGTAAGGATCAGCAACTACTTGCCAAAGAATTTGCATAACATTGAATATCACTCTGTTTCAGTCCCTGATGGGTCTGAGGCATCTAATTATGTGCTGGGTTTGAAACACATTTCAGGAATAGTCATCTGCTTTCGTTTACTGAAGACTTCTAGCAAGCCCTTAACAGTACAGCACCAAACTAACATCAGGATTCTTTGTAAAGATGTACCTGGTGCAGATTTGTATCTTCTACCCTTTGAGTAGTTAACACTTTCTTTGAATCATCTCCACCTGAAATGAAAATAAAAGACAAAAAGAAACCTTAATTTTTTACTTTGCATTTATAGCATCTAGTGTCCACAATCATGTGTGTAACAGTACTTACCACATTTAGCTATCCAGAAAAATTATCAAGCCATAAGGGTTTTATTAGAATCTAAAACATATCAATATATTACATATATATGAAAATCTTGGAGTTTGATCTTTGTTGCAGACTGCATCTTGTAAAAAACAGGACAGGTGAGATTGAAGCATGACATTAGGCTTTCAAATTTTTTTGAAGATTAGTGACATGAGCAATTGTTTTTGAAACTTACAGGAGCTATTACATTTCCCTAACTTCTAACAGGTCTCCTTGCTCCCCAAAAGACTTTTCTGAAGCCAGTGATGGTGGGATGCTAGCCTAGATTACATCTTTCCCTGTACAGCATGTTTGGGCAGGGAAAGGGATGGAGTAGCTAAAGTCGAGCCACTGGTGTCAAAACAGGCAGGGATATTCCCCAGCACCAACTCAGTGCCTTGCTTGGTGTTTTGCTTTTGCTTTCCAGCCTCCCTTCATGCTGACAAAATGGCATAAAAAGAATACAGCAACTACCAAGATCTTACCCTAAATATTAATACACTTACTTAATCCATACAACTCTATGCATCTACTTCTGGCCAATTTGCTCTTAAACCCAGACTAGCCACACCATATTGAAAAAAATCTAGCTCACCACCCTGATATTTCGTACTGCAATATGAGCCCCAAGCCTAGCCCTAAGATTCACCCAACAACCCATGCTAGCACCAGCCTTAAATTTAACAGACATTTCACACCACAGCAACTCTTCCTCACCACTTCAGGGAATCTGGCATTCCAGATGTTAACCCTAGCCCTAGCATCACCATTAGTCCACTTAGTCCTAAATTAAACCCAATGGCCCAGCTATTGATTAAGTCAAATCCTAATCCAAACCATAATTTTGAACGCTTTTTTAGCCCACCAATCCTTACAAGGCTCAGAATATCTAGATGACCTTTGGTGGCTGCAGCCCTAACCTCTAATCATGGGATCTCCCAAACACAGCAGTCCCTGTCAGACTTATCTCTTACAGTAGCATTAACCTTGGTTTCACTCACATTTTAAGCCAGTAACTCCTGCCTGCTCCTACTGCCCTGACTCTAAACTTGCAGAATCATAGAATAGTTTGGGTTGAAAAGGACCTTTAAAGGTCATTTAGTCCAACCTCTCCGGAATGAGCAGGGATATCTTCAACTACAGGCTCAGCGCCCTGTCCAACCTGACCTTGACTATTTCCAGGGATGGGGCATCTACCACCTCTCTGGGCAACCTGTTCCAGTGTTTCACCACCCTCATCATAAAAAATTTCTTCCTTTTATCTAGTCTGAATCTACCCTCTTTCAGTTTAAAGCTATTACCTCTTGCCCTATGTCCTTGTAAAAAGTCCCTCCCCAGCTTTTTTGTAGGCTCCCTGTAAGTGTTGAAAGGCCACAATAAGGTCTTCCCAGAGCCTTCTCTTCTCCAGGCTTAACAACCCCAATGCTCTCAGCCTTTCCTCACAGGGGAGGTGCTCCAGCCCTCTGATCATTTCTGTGGCCTCCTCTGAACCCACTCCAAGAGGTCCATGTCTATCCTGCGCTGAGGGCTCCAGAGCTGGATGCAGGACTCCAGGTGGGGCCTCATCAAAGTGGGGTAGAGGGTCAGAATCACCACCCTTGACTTGCTGGCCACACTGCTTTTGATGCAGCCCAGGATACAGCCAGCTTTCTGGGCTGTGAGAGCACACTGTTGGCTCATGTGCAGCTTTTCATGCACCAATATCCCCAAGTCCTTCTCGGCAGTGCTGCTCTCAAGCCCTTCATCCCCCCAGCCTGTACTGATACTGGAGGTTGTCCCGACACACATGCAGGACCTTGCACTCGGCCTTGTTGAACCTCATGAGGTTCACCTGGGCCCACTCCTCAACCTTGTCCAGGTCCTCCTGGATGACATCCCATCCCTCAGGCGTGTCAACTGCACCACTCAGCTTGGTGTTCTCTGCAAACTTGCTGAGGGTGCACTCAATTGCACTGTGTATGTCACTGATAAACAGTACTGGCCCCAGTACAGACCTCTGAGAGACACCACTTGTCACTGGTCTCCACCTGCACATTGAGACGTTGACTGCTACCCTCTGGTTGTGACCATCCAAACAATTCCTCATCCACCGAACAGTCCACCCATCAAATCCATATCTCTCCAATCTAGAGAGAAGGATGTTGTGGCAGGCTGTGTCAAAGGCCTTACAGAAGTCCAGATAGACAACATCCACAGCTCTTTCCTTGTCCACTGATGTAGTCACTCTACCATAGAAGGCCACTAGGTTGGTCAGGCAGGACTTGCCCTTGGTGAAGCCATGCTGGCTGTCTCATATCAGCTCCCTGTCCTCCATGGGCCTTAGCATAGCTTCCACGAGGATCTGTTCCGTGATTTTCCCAAGCACAGAGGAGAGGCTGACAGGTCGGTAGTTCCCAGGGTCCTCCTTTCTACCCTTCTTAAAAATGGGTGTGAAGTTTCCCTTTTTCCAGTCACTTGGGACTTCACCTGACTGCCATGACTTTTCAGATATGATGGACAGTGGCTTGGCAACTACATCAGCCAGTTCCCTCAGGACTCTGGGATGCATCTCGTCAGGTCCCACAGACTTATGTATGTTCAGGTTCCTCAGGTGGTCATGAACCTTATCGTCTCTTACACTGGGAGTGACTTTGCTCCCCCAGTCCCATTCTTGCAGTCCCTCTGAAAGGTGTGGGAAGAGAGGTTGCCAGTGAAGACTGAGGCAAAAAATTTGTTTAGTACCTCAGCCTTCTCCTCGTCTGTTGTTACCAGTTTGCCAGTCATGTTCATCAGCCGGGGTACACTTTCTCTAACCTTCCTCTTTTGGCTGGCATACCTGTAGAAGCCCTTCTTGTTATTCTTTGTATCCCTTGCAAAGTTCAGGTCCAGCTGCCCCTTGGCCTTCCTGACCTCACCCCTACACAACCAGGCAGCATCCCTATGTTCTTCCCAGGACACTTGTCCCTGCTTCCACTGCCTGTGCATTTCCTTCCTACCCTTTAGTTCAACCAGCAGGGCTCGACTCACCCATGCTGGTCTCTTGCCTTCCTTGACTGATTTCTTACACCTGGGTATCAAGAGCTCTTGCGCTGTATGGTAAACATCCTTAAAGATCTGCCAGCTCTATTCTGCTTCCTTGTCCCGAGGGCAGTTTCCCAGGGGGTCCTACTGACCCGCTCCTTGCAGAGCTGGAAGTTTGCTTTCCTAAAATTCAGGGTCCTGACTTTTACTCTTCACCTGACCCATATCCCTCGGGACTGCAAACCCCACCAATGCGTGACCACTGCAGCCCAGGCTGCCTCCAATCTTAATGTCACCGATTTATCTCCCTTGGGTTGGTGACCAACAGGTCCAGTATTGCATCCCCTCTGGTAAGGCTATTATCTGGCTTCAGAAGTTATCATCCATAGACTCTAGGAGTCACCTGGACTGCCTACAGCTCATCATGCTACTTGTCCAGCAGATGTCGGGGTGGTTGAAATCCCCCAGCAGCACAAGAACCTGCGAGCGTGAAGCCTCCCGCAGCTGGGGTAAGGTTTCATCAACAGGCTCCCCTTGATCGGGCGGCCTGCAGTAAACAGCAACCACAAGGTTCCCTTTGTTGTCTCAGTCTCTAATTCTTATTCATAAGCTTTTGACCTGCTTGTGGCTGTTCTTCAGAGACAGCTGTTCACAATCTATTTCTTGATGTCGAGGGCAACCCTTCCACCCCTCCTTCGTCAGTTATGCCTTCTGAACAGCCTGTAGACATTGATAGCCGCACTCCAGTCATCGGATTCGTCCTACCAAGTTTCAGTAAGGGCAACTAGGTTGTGGCTTTCCAGCAGCACGGTGGTTTCTCCTCCTGTTTGCTGCCCGTGCTGCATGCATTGGTGCACAGCCACTTCAGCTGGACTGTCGGCCATGTCACCTTCTTAGAGGAGCACACCTTCATTCCTTTGAGGTATTTCACTGGTGTTTCCCTGTTTGCTCCTATTACTTCAAAAGCCCCTGGCTCATCTCCGTCAGACTTCAGGTGTGCTGCAGCATACCCAGCACGTCTCAGAGCAACAGGCCGAGGGCCCTCGCTAGCACCTTGCGCCTTTAACCTTGGCACGTCATCCCACAGCTTTTCACAGGCAAGCCTGATATTATTGCCCTCCCCCTTCAAGCCTAGTTTAAAGCTCTGTCAAAAAGTCCCCTGAGCTTGTGAGCAAAGACCCTCTTTCCCCTTTGAGAAAGCTGAACCCCATTCAACACCAGCAGGCCTGGTGCCATGTAGACTATTCCACTGCTGAAAAACAGGTGTGGCGTGGTCCCCCCAGCCACAGAGCCATGTATTAATAGACTGGGTCTGTCTGTTTCTTCCAATGTTGCTGCCCACAACTGGAAGAACAGAGGAAAAAAATTACCTGTGCACCAGATTCCCTTACTAACTGTCCCAAAGTCCTGAAGTCTCTCTTCATTGCCCTCGGACTAGGCATTGTGGTTTCATCAACACCCACATGGAAGAGCAATAATGGGTAATAGTATGAGGGCTGAGGACTCCTTCTAGATTTAAACACACCAAAGCCCACACTGCCCCACTGTGTCAAATAGTACTAATTATAACTCTAATCAAGGCTTACCTTGTGGCCCTTTTTTGTATCTGTCCCTCAACAAGCAGCCTCTTCAAAACCTTCTTCTCAACTCAGTTACTAAGACTGTACAACATCCAACTCTCACCTTAGCCAAAATGTTCCCATACCAACCCCTTAAAACTCACTAGCTATTACCTACAGCAGTATTTCTCTAGTCCCAGCACTAACACTAGTAGTTAAGGATAAGCAGTTAAGGCTCGGCAGCCTCTTATACCTAGATCTAATCACAGATGCTCCATTTTTAATCTTATCGACCCTGCAAAATTCAGCCTATGTGCAGGTTTAGAACAGAATCACAGAATCACAGAATGGTAGGGGCTGGAAGGGACCTCTGTGGGTCATCCAGTCCAACCCCCCTGACGAAGCAGGGTCACCTACAGCAGGCTGCACAGGACCTTGTCCAGGCGGGTCTTCAATACCTCCAGAGAAGGAGACTCCACAGCCTCCCTGGGCAGCCTGTTCCAGTGCTCCGTCACCCTCAGAGGGAAGAAGTTCTTCCTCATGTTCAGA